GATACCTATATATACACACAAATAGTGTTTTCTTAATTCTTAAAAAAAAATGTGCTTACATAAGTGTGCTTACATAATTTCTCTGAAAATTTCAGAGAAAACTTATTTTTACCTTAATGAATTATTTTCTGCCTTAAAAGTAAATAATAAAGTCAAATAAATTCAGATACAGAAGCTGTTTTCCAGAAACAAGCAATCTGCATGCAACAATCAGTCTGTCACTGGACACACAGTGAGAACACATCACAACTTACTTCAACAGGCCTAAACAGAAAGTTTTGACAAAACAAAGCATTTACAAATGAATGTTTCTCAAATAGCAACAATGTTACATATATTATTATAGACCTTGAAAAAAAAGGGTTTGGATTCTATACCATGTCATAGTTATTCTCATAGAAGAACATAAAAATAAATGAGATAATTATGGTATTTGAAGTGCTTATATCACCTTATTATCAGGATAAGTAAAAGTAAAAATTAACTGTTAATATCCATTAAGATAAATGCAACAACTTGATTATGTGGAAAATTTGAATTGCTAAAAATAAACTGAGTGAAACAAAAATCACCTCATATGACGTCATCTTAAAGCCCAGGATGAAAGGAAATGTGTCCCTATCAGATATAAATGTACATTCTTTTTTAAAATGTATATATATTTTAGTTGTAGATAGTCTCAATATTATAATCTATCTATTTATTTATTTATTTAATGTGGTGATGAGTCCCTCACACATGTGAGGCAAGTGCTCCACCCCTGAGCTACAACCCCAACCCATTAATGTTCATTCATTTAGATAAAAAATTAACAATATATTTCACCTTGTTTCTTAAAACTCTACTTTTTGGAACTGGGTATGGTGGTGTACACCTTTAATCCTAGTGACTAGGGAGGCTGAGGCAGGAGGACGGAAAGTTTAAGGACAGCCTCAGTAACTTAGCAAGACCTTGTTCTCAAAATAAAAAATAAAAAAGGCTGGGGATATACCTCAGTGGTAAAGTGCCCCTGGGTACAACCTCCAGTATCAAAAACAAACAAACAAACAAAACCCCTCTATTTTTGGAATGAAAAGGCCTCAAACTGACAATTTAGAAACTTCATACAAGCATATCCTCTCCCTCTCCCCCCTCTATATGTATATATAAAACTATGAGCCATTTAAGAATAATAAACAATATAGAGACTATTATAATGTTTTTTTTTTCTCTTGTGTCTTACTGTCTTAAAATTAAATTGATGTTTTTTAAAGTTTAAGTTTTCATAAAAGAATTTAAGAAATTCTCCGGATGAATAGCAGAACAAATAATAACAGACATAAATTTTCAAACAAATTAACAAATCTAGTTTTCATGCACACGCTTTGACAAACCAAATTTTACTTCCTAATTTGTTCATCTGAAAAGAATTACTTAGTAAGATATTATATGACTTTGAGAAAGTAGGTCATGTGTATATGTGATTCCTTCCTCAAGGAAAGCTTCCTCCTTGGAAAGAACAGGTGATTTTGACACATACACATCCAGACACATCCAGACACTGAACTGAGGCATTCACTATGTTCCAATGTGAAAAAAATTTCTTATTAAAACCTTGGAGGGGCCTGGGGTTGTGGCTCAGTGGTAGAGCGCCTGGCTTGTACATGTGAGACACTGGTTTCGATCCTCAGCACCACATAAAAAATAAATAAATGAAGATACTGTGTACATCTACAACTAAAACATACTTAAAAACAAAATCTTGGAGGCCATATAAATCATTACCTTCCCACTACCTCTTCTCATACCTTTAATACCATTCCTCTATCACTTGCTACCTTTTTATTTCATATTATTAGTTCATATAAGAAACATAAAAATTACACATTAATGCAGATGTGATGTTTTCCCCCATGTGTACATTGTGTAATGTTTAAATCTGGGCAAACATATCTATCTCCTGAAACATTTGTAACTTATGGTGAAAACATTCAAGATCTTTTCTTGTATTATTATTATTTTTTTGAGATGTCCAGTACCCAACTGTTACCTATAGTCCACCAAACTCCTTCCTCCTATCCAATGTAACTGGTATCCATTGTTTAACCTTCCCTATTTCTTCCTCTCCCCTTCCTTTGCAACACCCCTTAATTCCTTAGTCTTGTGCAAGTCCACCTGTTCACTATCATGTGACCAACTACAGGCACATGTCCTTAGAATCTGTAAAGCTTAGATTTTGACACAGACTGACTGCCAAAAATTATTCATTTTTATTTTGCAAAAGCTAGTTCTTATCTAATGCTAACAACATGACTGGGCTACTGTTTCATCAGCTCAATCCACTCTATTTTGTAACTCGCACATAACAAGCAAAGCAATGACATCTGTTTAACTAATAATGTCTTTTCCCCTAGTGGTAGATAATCCATTTTAATTACTATGATGAGATATTCAAGAAAAGAGGTTTATTTTGGCTCACAATTATAGAGGTGCAAGATCTAGGGGCCTTATCTGGTGATGGCCTTGCTGACAAACTCCTGAGGTAGGAAGGCTGGAATGTTACATGATCCTAGAATTTTGAGGCCTTTCATGCATTTGCCTCTGTGTTCCTGGCACATCATGATCTAAATCTATTAAAAAATAATAATAATTCTGACTAAAGGTGCAACCTAGTCAGGTTCCACAGCAATAGACAGACAGCTCGCGTCCACATGTGCATATCTGGTCCCTGTTCTTACACCCACCAAGAGTCAGTCATGGCACTCTACCCTACTGCCTTTATCTACTCCTCGTCACTTACCATAGCACCAACTAAGCTTTTAATAAACACTGGGCAACTGACTTTCAAGTATTCTCTGAAGCATACCCGGAGATAGCCATGCAGGTCCGGAGGATAGCCATACAGGTGATTAGTTTGGAGCCACATACTTTAACATACAGTCAGGCAGTGGTGGGGAGGGAGTGACATCCCTGAGTTGAGGAACCTGACTAGGTCGCACCTTTTGTCAGAATTCTATTCTTTTTTATAGAGGCAGATCATGATGTGCTAGAAACACAGAGGCAAAGACATGAAGGCCTAAGGATACTGGATCATGTAACATTCCAGTACACAAAAACATATTCTTGTTGCTTGTCTAGATATCCATGTTAGTGATAAAAAGAAATCTCAAAGAGCTGGGGATATAGCTCAGTTGAAAGAGTGTTTGTCTTGTAAGCACAAGGCCCTGGGTTCAATCCCCTGTACCACAAAAAAATTTTAAAAAATCTCAAAAATTTAGAATCAGCAATGTGTTATTTCCAGCAATTAATATTTAGCCTTTCATAACATTAAAAAAATTTCCCGAATGGGAATTTAGTCTAATGCTTAAAGGGTGATTCAATAACAATATGCAAAATAGTATGTTAAAACCTTTGAATATTTACTCTGTATAACTCTTAGAAAAAGAACCAATGTTTCCTCAGATTTTATCTAAGACTAATAGTCAGCAGTCATATTTTTGTGGTTCTCTATTTTTACTTTGGTTTTCCTCAACTTTTAATCATAAATAACTTCAGAAATAGATATCTTTACTCTGCATCTTGTTCAAAAGCTCAGATGAGAACCAACTTTTGTTGAGAGTTGAAGGGCAAACACATATTTTGCAGACATTACATCATTTCTCAAAAATACTTAAATGGTGATAATTATTATCCCCATTTTATAGAGTAGAAAATAAAGGTTGAGAAATTTAAGATTAAGATCACATGGGCAAGACTCAACTTAGTCTTTCTAGCCTTTGTTCCTTCCAATACTCTGAAATGGATTAAAATAACTGAACCAATTGAAGAGATGTTCAGGTGAAACAATCTATTCTGAAAGATAAGTAATTCTAAGCAATAATTACATGTGACTAAAAGCCAAGACCTTGGAAAAGATCAACAGGAGACTACATCATCAAGAAGAAATAAAGACAACTTTCTAATTCTGTATTATTTTTAGTAGTTTAAAATTGTTCCTCCTCTATCCTATCAAAATTGTTGACTGTAATGCCCATATCATTTCAAAATTATGCCTAACCCCCCAAAAGTCTTTGCCAAAAAAACACAAGCACAATTCTAAAAGTCTAAGTGCAAAAACAACTAAAAGACAAACCAAATACACTTCCTAATCAATAACCACCTCTCCTTAAAGATTAGTTTTATAATGGATTCAGTATTATAGTAAATAATATTTTGGATTAAACTAAAGTATAATTCAGAGGAATATTTCAACACATTATCAAAATGGAAATCATATTTAGCAACCATATAGGATTCCAGAGGGCTGCTTCACAGTCGAATATGGGTAGAATTAAAAGTGGGAAAAAACCCACATTCTCAGTAGCACTTACATCTCTCAATTTAAAACAAGCTTTCCTTTGCTAAATTTTATGCTTGAAAAAGACCTCAGAATATATCTGATTTTAGTCCCCAGCCAAGTATCATTAATTCCCCTTATATGGGAAATAACCGAATTGTAGGTCTTGAATAAATAGCTGAAGGAATTGAGAGCTGCCAGTTTCTTACAGAATTATTATCATCATCATCACAAGGACACTGTTTTCCGGTGGGACCAGAGAGAGCGGACATCTAGGGAGCATTGACCAACCATCGAGCACGCACCTGTGATTCTCACACCCGCCACATCCCAGGCACTGAGACCTGGGGTTCTGCCCAAGGTCACCCTAGGAAGTGCCGGCGCCGACGCAATCAGATCGGTCCCGGGGATGCTCGGGGCGGCCGAGGCTGGCCCAACGCCGGCCCGGGGGCTCGCCCCGCCGGCCGCAGCAGGTGGCGGAGCACGGCCTCCCCGGGCCCCGCGCGGGCCACCTGCGCGGCGCTCGCCCCCGCGAGCGGCGGCCGCCGGGGAGGGGCCCGGTGCGGGAGAGGTGCCCGGCGGCGGCGCGCCAAGGTCGCGGGACGCGGACGCGGACGCGGGCCGCCCGCCGCGGCGTGTCAGCGGGCTCCGAGGGTCGGGGAGGGCCGCGGCGGCCGGGCCGTACCTGCCGGGTGGTTGTACAGCGGCCGCAGCTTCTCCGGCAGCATCAGCTCCACCTTATCCAGGAGCCGGTGGTAGCTGGCCCGCAGGCCACGGGCGCCGGCGGCTGCCATCTCGGCCGCTGGGCGATCGCGGGCAGTGGGGCGGGAGCGCCGCAGTGTCCTGGTCCCCGGCTGGAGGCGGAGGAAACCTCCTCACGTTCCCTGCCACGGAACCTCGCGGCCGCCTCTGCCCAGGACGCCCTTCCCCAGGCTCTGCCCGCCCGGCGAACCTCCCAGGGCCCGCGCCCAGCGCAGGCGAAGGGGCGGGGGCTCTGCGCCAACCCACCCGCCTCCAGCAAGCGACCCGGCGACGGAGGAGGAGTCATGGCAACAGGTGCGGGGACCGCCCAGCTAAGTCAGCCCAGAGCCGGCCGGCAGAGCGCACGCGCGGGCCCCTCCGCCTGCAGCGATTGGCGCCCTCCGCGGCTCGGGCGGGACGGGAAGCCCGGGCTTCTCCTTCCTGTCCGCGCGGCCATGATGGAGAAGGGAAGGTGAAGCTCGTCTGGCTGCACTGCCCCTTCGGTTTCAGGAACGAGGCCCGCAGTTAACATGGGCTTTTCGGGCCTTCCGTGCCCGCACTAAAGATGACACCGCACAACGCTCTTGCTTCCTTTGGATCGAGAAGCGTGGGCGAGAGATTACAGACTTCAGGCGGTTTCTCTCTCTACTCCTCTTCCATCTGGCTAGAGCGGCCTGAGTTCATTTTCCTCGGGTGAGGGCCGCCGTCACGAACGCTGGCCGCCAGCCCCGCGGGGGGGGGGGGGCGTCATCTCGCGAGAAAGGCGAGGAGGGGCGGTGTCCCGAGCCGAGGGAGGGAGGAGCCGCGACCGCCTCCGCCTCCGCCTCCTCCTCCGGCGGGAGGGGGCAGGGAGGGACTGTCGCCGGGCTCTGGATGTTCTGGGTAGTCTGAGCAGGAGAGTATGAGGCGAGCTCCGGCCCGGGCGCGGCCGGGCTCCGTGCACGAAGGCGCCGCGGCCGTCTGAGTCGCTGCGCGCGAGGCCGGCGGCGGACGGTGCCGGAGCGGCGGACGGTGCCGGAGCGGCGCGGGAGCCAAGTCGCGCGCCGCGTCCCGCCGCCCCTCCCCCGCGGCGGTGCCCCCAGCTCCGCGGCCCCGGCGGAGCCATGTCGCGGGGCGGCTCCTGCCCGCACCTGTTGTGGGACGTGCGGAGGAGGTCGCTGGGGCTGGAGGACCCGTCCCGGCTGCGGAGCCGCTACCTGGGTGAGCGGGGCCGGGCGGGGTCGGGCCGCCGGGCCGGGGTCGCTCCCGAGCCCCGCGACCGGGGCGCCCCGTGCGCTGAGCGCGCCGCGGAGAGCCGGGCGGCGCGGGCGGGCCCTCGGCGCAAGTCGGCGTCCGGGCCAACCGGGCGGCCGCGGCCCCGGAGCGCCCCCGCCGCCGCCGCCGCCCGGGGTCGGGTTTCACGTCCCGCCTCCACCCCGGGGCGCCGGGCGAGCCTCCTGAACGGCCCGGCGCCGGCTCGGGCGGGCGCTGTGGCCGGTCCCCGAGCGCCGTCCGGCCGGTGGACGGCGTGTGGCCGCGGTCCGCCCGCGACTTCCCTGGGCAAGGGAGGAAAATGGCACCCGGGGGCCAACGGCCCGGCTGGTGGGTGGCCTGGCCGGAGTTAGGTGACTTTCGCCTTGCTTTTCCTGCTCTCGGTGGAGTCGCCCCAGGGAGCGAAACCCCTTCCCTGCGAAACTCCTTCCCTGCCAACTCGCTCCCGCCCTGGAGGGAGTCCTGTTTTGTTTCCTGAGTCCAGAACTTTTTCTGAGTTCTCCCCCCCCCCCCTTTTGGTAGGGGTTGAACCCAGAGGCGCGGTACCACTGAGCCACATACCCAGCCCATTTTATTATTTTAGATTTTGAGGTCTCAATGAGTTGTTGAGGCTGTCCTCGAACTTGTGATCCTCCTGCTTCAGCCTCCCGAGTGGATTGCTGGCCAGCACCACATTGTCTAGCTTTCTTTGAGTTCTTGACCATCACATATGCCGTATATGCGTGTGTTTAGCCTGAATAAAAGACACCTGCTTTTTCTACACTACGTCTTGGACATCCTTCCAGGACCATTAAGATTGATTCACTCTTCTTAAAAATTATTACATAATTTTTAACAAACTGAAATACTGAAGCGGACTCCACTGTCTTGCTTTATGCGATGTTCACTGCTACTAACGGCAGTGCACCTAAGGTCTTTGTACAGGACTTTGTGCATTTGTTCTAAGTAGAAACCATCAACTCACATAGTTACTTTCTTTTTTTGTTGGATGGTGAAAAAAATGACTTGTGGGGGTGGAATACTGGAAATTAAACCCGGAGTGCTCTACCACTGACCTATATCACCAGCCCTTTTTTTTTCTATTTTTTAATTTTTTCGAAGATCTGGCTGAGTTGCCCATACTGGCCTCAAATTGATCCTCCTGCCTCAGCCTCTCAAACAGTTGGTATTACATGAGTGGCTGCCAGGCTGGACTGATAAAATTTATGATTTTTTAACAGTACTCTTACAGGGGCTGGGGATGTGGCTCAAGTGGTAGCGCGCTCGCCTGGCATGCGTGCTGCCCGGGTTTGATCCTCAGCACCACATACAAAGATGTTATGTCTGCCGATAACTAAAAATAAATAAATATTAAAAATTATCTCTCTCTCCCTCTCTCACTCTCTCTTTAAAAAAAAATAAAAGTACTCTTACAAAGCCTTCCTTTTAATTCTAAGTCCAAGATTTTAGGAAGTAGATAGGTTTTTTTTTTCCTTTAAAGACAGTGTCTAAACCTTATAATTTTTACAGTATTGTAAGGTGAATATATTTCTGATATAGTTCCATTATTTGTATTTATAATAATGAATTACTGCTAAGTAACTAAAATTTAGGATAAAACAGATTTTTTTCTTCTTAACATTTACAGTTTGTTTCACCAAAGCATGTGTCTTTCTAATAGCAGTATTCAAGCTTCATAACTGATTGTACATAAATTGATTAATTATCTCTTTTCTTTCCATACAAAAGGTATATAGAAACATTTTATTTTTGTTTTGCACTTCTGGGGATCAAACCCAGGGAGGGCCTTGCACATTCTAGGCAAGTGCTCTACCACAAGCCACATCCCCAGCTCGAAAAGAAAATTATTCACAAAATAGCCTTTTATGTTGTGGGAATGAAGATGAATAATTTTGTGTATGTTATTTATGAGAGAAAGATGTATGCCTTTATAGCTCCCAAATTCACAAGAATCCCCTGAACTAAGGGAGTCTTATTTTGGACCTACATGAATTCAAAAGTTTGTTCAGGGATTGTAATCTCCATGAGCTTGATCTAAGTTCCAGTGTAGGATTTTTTTTTTTTTTTTTTTTTTTAATGAATAATTGTCAGAAGTCCAGAATCAGATAACAATGTTAAGTTTAAAAGTTTCAGTTTCTCAAGATACTGTATACTTTCTGTAGAGCAGTTCCTTTCGAATTCAGTGATTGTTACAGTTACTCATTATCTATACATATTTCATAAACATTTATATACAGTTTTATATAGATAAACCTGGTTTAGAAAAGAAACTCTTTATTTGTATGCATGCATTATTTCTACTCATTTTTTTTTCTTTTGCACATACTTGCCTGCAGTTGATTTTACTCTAACTGTTCTAAATTAAAAGGCTATAATTGTTAAGGATTTGTTTACTATAACATAAAATGTTTTATATAAAATGCTTAAGCCGTGATTATGCAGCCAAGGACAACTTTTTTTTTTTTTAATTTAGTTGTCAAATGAACCTTTATTTTTATTTATTTATATGTGGTGCTGAGAATTTAACCCAGTGGCTCACACATGCCAAACAAGCACTCTTCCACTGAGCCATAACCCCAGCCCAAGGACAACTTTTTAATAGATGTTAAAATTTCCTTTTTTGTAAGGGGAAGTCTGTGTCCTTTGAATATTGTGAGTTGGTTATGTATTGAAATAGATAATTTTGCCTTCAGGTTACTCTCTAGTGAATCCTGAATTCATCTACATTCTGAATTACCAGGTTCTTCATAATGTGTTGCCAAGTTACAGTATATAATAGGAGGATCAGTAAGTTCTGATGTTTGCTTCCTTGTTTAGTCACTGGAGAAAAGTTTGTAGAATTCTTTAGTCTCAGAATCCCAATGAAAGTGGAAAATGTATTGTTTTGGTAGTTAAAAGTGATTGTCAAATATAGCAAACATAATAAAGTATACTCATAATTCTTTAAGGTAAAGACTACCAGAGGATATTTGAAGTCATTACATTTGTAGACAACATTAGTAACACCTCTCTGGATTTCATTCTTCTCTGGCATGGGGATGAATCAAAGAAATGGCAAACCTTCTAGTAGCATAAAACTTGATCTAATGATGTTTTAGGTCAGAGTTTTGAATGTTTTGACGTGATATACGGTAAAAATACATTTACACGGCACCTTGTGATTCAGCTAAAATAAAAGATCCCTCAGATGTAAACTTAGCCTTACTAGATAGGGTAAGTTCTATTTTCTGTTCTGTATCATGTTCTTAAAAAGTTGGTCTTGACCCAGTAGAATACCCACTAATGAGTCTCGGCTTGAGGTTTGCAAAACTTTTCTAGGTGGTGTATAATTTTTATAATTTTGATTGAATGTTTTTGACTTCAGAGTTAGGGTGGGTGAAGTTCCTAAGTATTTAAAGCAGATTTTAAACGTTTTTTTGATGTCTTCTGATGGCTTATAAGGAATGTATATAAAAAGCAAAACTTTGTTTACACCTTGGACAAAATAACTAGGATAGGATACTTTTTAGTTTTCATTTCTGCGGTAAATATGTACAGTGAGATTGCTGGATTGCACGATAAGTGCTTTGCACTTAATAAGGAGCTGCCACACTGTTTTTCAAAATAATTGTTCCATACTAATTCCTACCAGTAATGTATGAGAGTTAGTCACTCTACTTTCTCCTCAGCATTTGGTGTAGTGAGTCTTCTTTATTTTATCCTTTCTGATAGGTGTTTGTTACTCTCTCAGTTTGTTTTTCTGTAATGATTAACAGTATCAAGTGTCTTTTTTTTTTTTTTTCCCCTGTCTATATACTTTGGTTAAAAGTGTTCAAGTTCACCTTTTTAATATGTAAAAATTCTTTATGTAGTCTTGGTAAAAGTCCTTAATCAAAAAATTTAAAACATTTTCTTTCAGTTTTTATCTTGTCTTTTATTAAAAAGTCTTTTATAGTTTATACTTTTCGTATCCAGAGAATCTTTACATAATCCAAAGTCACAAAAATTGTACTGCGTTTTTCCTGGAAGTTTTGGTTTGTTTGTTTTATGGTGCTAGGGATTGTGTCCGGGACCTTGCACATGTTAGGCAAGTGCACTACCACTGAGCCTCGTTTCTAGCCCTGGAAGTTTTTTCTTTTAGCTTTTGAAATTTAGTTCTGTGAATAGTTTTTAGTAAAGTTTTACATATACTGTCAGGCAAGAGTTAGGTTTCCTTTCTTTACATACACATGTATAATTGATCCAGCACCATTTGTCCTTTTCCTTTTGTTGAAAATAGGTTGGCTGTATGTTTCAGTGTCTCAACAACAAGTTATTGATCTAGATATCTGTCTTTGTTGGTACTTTATTTTGAAATCCACTGTGTAACACTTTGTTCTTGGTCCACCCTCCTTACTCCAAATTGTCTTGGCTGTTTTGCGCCTTTTCCATTTTCTTTTCTTTCTTTCTTTTTTTTTTTTAATATTTATTTAAGTTGTAGGTGGACACAGTATCTTTATTTTACATTTATGTGGTGCTGAGGATCGAACCCAGTGCCACGTGCATTCTGGGCGAGTGCTTTACCACTGAGCCACAACACCAGCCCCTGGGCCTTTTTCATTTTCATATATATATTTTTAAAAAACTACAAAAAGAAGGGCTAGGGTTATGGCTCAGCAGTAGAACACTCGCCTCACATGTGCAAGGCCCTGGGTTCCATCCTCAGCACCACATTAAAAATAAATAAATAAATAAATAAAGTTATTTAAAAAATTGGTGACTTTTAGCAAATCATGTATTTACAGGAGAGAGATTTAAAGACATGATTTTCTTTATGAACAAATGTAAGTGGTTTATATAAATTTTATAAGCAGCCTGTTTCTTTTGGAAGTTTGAGTTGAATCTATACATTATTTCAGGGAGAATATTACTCTTTACAACACTGAATCTTTCAAACTACAATTCTGGTTTATTTGTGTGTATTTAGATGC